AGTCTCTGCCCCAGTGAGTGAATGGCACTTTGATGATGACGAAGCCCCCGCTGGCCAAGTTGGTGATTTTCTTTCATTAGTGCAGTGGACTGTTTTTTCCTTTCCAGACAAAATCATATTCTGGGTCTATGGACTGGGGAAAGTGTTTTGGTTTGATGCAGAAGTGGGGACCTTATGACACTGCCAAATGAGATAGAGAAGCATGGTTTGATAGCTCTGGCCTGGTAGACTGAAGGTTTGTCATGATTGCATGTTTCAGATACAGGTAAAACACCTTTCTGGAGGAGGAACCTACTTTTGAAAAGTGGTAACAAAATGTGTCTTGGCCTACTAAATTGCATATGAAGATATGAGATGGAGAACATGGATGAGGCTACCTCTACTGATGTTTTTACCCATTTTCTCATTCTCTTGTACATTGAAGGGGTTTTCAGAGAATGGAGTTGGGGCCTAAACTTGCTGATTTTATTTTGTCACTGATAAGTTACTAGAAATCTACATTTATATGGTATTTTTGAAGATGGTAACTTTAGAAATTTGAAGTCTTAATTTTTGAAGTAAACCCAATATTATCTTCACAGAATTTAGCATCCAAATCAGGCTTCCCTTATCTCTGAAATTTCTGAGCTTTCATCATACAGGAATCTACTTTTATTTCTCTGAGCCCCTAGTTAAGGATATTGCTTAAATGAGGAACATTGACCCTTAATTGGGTGTTACTGTTTGATAGTCGTACTTTCAGCTGGAAACGTGCTGATTTATACCTGGAGTATGTAACAGAAGTACAAATACGCTGTTATCCTTTCCTTCTTGGTCTTGATAATGACTAGTGAACAATTGCAATTCTAAGTAATATTTTGAGGCATGTTTGTCCAGTCCCTTCATCATTCAAGTATTTATTAAGCATCTAGTGTATAGCAAGCAGAACACTAAGTGTTAGAGATATAGCAGTGAACAAAACTAAGTACCTACCATTATGGGAACACAACACACACACACACACACACACACACACTAGTGAAAAGTGCTAGGAAGACCAGTGGGAGAACAGAGAGTGAGTGATGATTAGTAAGATGCTGTTTGATACAAGATTTTCAGGGATGGCTTCTCTAAAAAGCAATGATTTCCCTTTTAGGTAGAAGGCATGAGCAGCTGCAAAGGCCTCCTGAGGTGGGAGTGAGGTTGGCAAGTTTAAGAGATGGCAGGGAGACCATGGTGGCTATAGCCAGTGAACAAGACAGGAGGAGATAGGGTTTGAGGTCAGAGAGGTAAGAGGGTATTTACATTTCCTGGGGCTACTATAACAAATTAACACAAACTTGGTGAAATAAAAAGAAACACATTCTTACAGTTCCAGAAGGCAGAAATCCAAAATCATTGTCACAGAGAGAAATCAAAGTATCCCCAGAGCCATGCTCCTTTTGGAGGGGAGAATCTGTTCTTTGCTTCTTTCAGCTTTTGGTTGCTGCTGGCAGTCCTTGGTTTGTGGCTGCAACAGTCCGGTCTTAAGGCCAGCATCTTCAAATCTCTCTCTGTCCCATCTTCACATTGCCTTCTCTGTGTGTAAAATCTCCGTTTACTTGCTTCTTATGAGATTACTTGTGATTGGATTTATCCACATATTCCAGGATAATCTCCCCATCTAAAGATCCTTAACTTTATAACATCTGCAAAGACCTGTCTCTTTTTTTGCCACATAAGGTAACTACATTCATAGGCTACAGTGATTAGGACATGGATATCCTCTGAGGGCCATTTTTTAGCCTACTACAGGGGGCCAGCTGAAAGAACAAGAGTTGGGACTTTGAATTTTATTCTGAATGAGATGGAAACCCATTGGAGGGTTTTTTAAGTCATATAATCTGGCCTGTACTTTTAAAAAGATGACTCCAGCTGCTGCATGGTAGGCACTAGACCGAGAAGGAGAATGACAGTCCTCTGTTTCTAAAACTTTGTTTTTAATGTAACTAATTCATGAATATCTTCCTGTTGGAAAGCTTTCATATTATACGGGAAACTCCAAACTCTCCCTGCCATTCAGTTCTGTTCCTTTTCATGTCTTGTCCTGGATATTTATACCTGTAAATAATTATCTATAAAAATAGTTTAAGTTGTGTGGGGTTTATGTAAAATTTATCATCTCATCTATTCAGCTCCTTGATGTTTTTCATTTACAAATATGTATTGGACAGCCTTTTCACTCCATAGTGTTTGATTGTACATATACTATTATTTATACAATTCCCTATTGATGGACATAGAGGTTGTTTCCATTTTCTCTGTTCTAAATGCCACCACAGTGGAGAGTCTTGTAAAATATCTTTTGACACACATGCACAAGTGTTTCTCTTGGATGGATACTGAAATGTCAAGTACGTGTAATACTTTTATACTATAATGGATCCTGCCAAATCGCCTTCCAATTTATACTAGAAGTGTCTAAGAATATTTGTTTCCACTTAATGAAAGTATTGAATTTCTTTTATGGACTTTGTGAATTTTTCTAATGGGTTTCTTAATGTTCTTACTGATTTATAGAAGTTTTTTATGTATTTAGAAATTTTTTTTTTTTGAAATATCGCCCAGGTTGGAGTGCAGTGGCGTGATCTCGGCTCACTGCAGCCTCTGCCTCCCAGGTTCAAGTGATTCTCCTGCCTCAGCCTCCTGAGTAGCTGGGAGTACAGGCACCTGCCACCACGACCAGCTTTTGTGTGTGTGTGTGTGTTTTTAGTAGAGGTGGGGTTTCACCACGTTGGGCAGGCTGTTCTCCAACTCCTGACTTCAGGTGATCTGCCTGCCTCAGCCTCCCAAAGTGCTGGGATTACAGGCACAAGCCACCGTGCCCGGCCAGAAATTTATATTTTCTTTGTTAGACATGTTATAATTTTTTCTCACAGGGTTCTTTAGTATAGCTTTTGAAATTCAAAAGTTTTTATTTTTAACATAAGAAAATTTTTTTTTTAATTACTGATTTAACGGTTTGTATCTTGCTTAAGACCTTCCCTAACCCAAAGTCATAAACATAAACACATTCACCTATAAACTTCTATTATTACTTTTATATGTGGTTTCAAAATAAAAAACTACAGAAAAAAAAAAAAAAACACAGAGACATGTAAAAAGGTCGAAATATTAATGTTCCTGAGGGAAAACTCAATATTCTAAAGTTGTTAACTTTCCACAAATTAATCTAATTAATACAATCCCAAATAAATTATACAATATTTTTCATAAAATTTGACAAGCAG